AAAAACGTTATGTAAAATACGATCTTACGTTTTTCTCTAATTTTGATTAACATGGTAACCTCTTCTCCCACGTTGACAAATTCGGTTATTGGCTGAATGTCAGGAAGCCTGCCCTTAAAGATGTCCATCCAACAATTCAGACTCTGAGAGGAATTCTAATACAAAAATAAATGTAGAAGCTGATTTTATCACCTACGAAATAATAATAGAAAAACATTATGAGGTCAGCGACGTGGAAGGACCGAGTTATAAAACACTAACATTTTTTTTTACCTGATACTAGATCCACTATAATGCATATTTCGTGATTTATTTGGTTGTGAAGGAGAGAAATGGAGTTCTATATATGTGTAACTTCAGATGGAGTATAGTCCTAATAATTTGTTTGTTCCGGATATTCGTGCAAAGTTGCACAAAGGTTGTCTGTACTAGCTGTCTTTTATTTTGAACAGACAGACGAGAGGGAGATATTTAGTTAACATGACCCACCGCAAATTCTGGGGCTATTCTAATTGAATACTGGAATCATTACAAACATTGTTATAACGCACTCAAAATGCAAAGTGTTTTTGTTTGTGGTAACGGGACGCGAACCATGGACTCTGGAATCCATAGTTCGGCACGCTAACCACTAGTTCTCGCACGGAGGCCCGGCAGGGCTAGGTGGTTAGGGCACTCGACTCGCAATCTGCGGGTCGCGGGTTCGAATCCCCATCACACCAAACATGCTCGCCCTTTCAGCCGTGGGGGCGTTATTATGTGACAGTCAATCCCACTATTCGTTGGTAAAAGAGTAGCCCAAGAGTTGGCGGTGTGTGGTGATGACTAGCTGCCTTTCCTCTAGTCTGAGACTGCTAAATTAGGGACGGCTAGCGCAGATAGCCTTCGTGTAGCTTTGCGCGAAATCCATAACAAACAAACAATCACGTACAGCCCAGAACAGTCCGGATTTTTAAAGTATTGCAATTGATTCTAGTAATTACTGTTAGGTTTCCTGTGTATTTAAAATAAAATGTGGTTGATTTTGGTGAATGTTGTGACAGACAAAAACACAAAATTGCACTATATTATGTGTCCCAATCCTACCAGTGGCTAAGCGGATAACATTTTGTAGCTTTGCACTTAACAACTAATGTTATGTCGACTTCATCGGTATTGAAGGTTATGTAAACAAGAGGGAATCCTCAATAGCCGCCGCTGTAATTAGAGCTAAAAGTTTGTACTTAAAAAGAAACAAAAAACTCAGAGCCATTCTATAAGCCGCGGCTAATAAGTAGGTAATTTGAGGGTTAATATATACATTGTTTTATTACGTTAATTATTCTGATATTACAGCTTCGATTAAAAAACAACAACAACCTCAAAATACGAAATATTAGTTTAAATTTCATACCTTAGGTTAAATATTTTACATTTTATGCCTTTTAAGAAAAGATCCATACTTTGATAAGGAACAACCTAACATTTGTAAAGCAATGGTATTTCATGTTTTATAATAGTAATACTGTCAATTAATTTGCGAGTGTTATAAATTTATTGAACAAATTTTGATTTTCATAACGTTTTTAGCATAATTCTAAATTTCTAAATTGATTAAAATTGTCTTAATTTAGAAACGTTTGTATTGAACGGGACATACCTTAAAGACATTTAAATTTTGTAGTTATGAGAAACTGAAATAAACTTAAAAATAGCAGTATTGAACTTTTCAAGTTGGTTAGAAGCCAAACATTTTTTTTTATTATTGTTTTAAGCACAAATCTGCATAACGGGTCATATGTGCTGTGCGTTATAAGCTCCCAATCTTACAGCTGAGCCACTTGGAGCTAATACAATAAATAAACTATGAAAAACAATACTAGTCTTACCTTTAAAGTTGGTATTGCAGATGTGGATGGAGCCTCCATTCCTCCAGCCCTGTGCAGTTCACGTCCTACGTGATGACTTGCGTCGGAGGACCCCATGGTTCCAATTACGGTTATCTCTCGTGGTGAGCATTGGACTCGGACTTGCTCATCAATGGCTTGTTGGACATTCTTGTCGAATTGAACATAAAGGAGCACTTCATACGATAGAGAACCATCCTATTCAGAAACATAAATACGTATCAATACAAACGGTAGTGTGTCGTGCGTCCAAAACAACCTGCAGGACACATTGTGTGTTATTTATTAACAAGAGTGATAGTTTAGCGATTTTGCACCGTTTGCAGCTCGAACTGTGATAATCCAAACTATCACATATTTTCAGTGGATGTGCTCTACTGGACTCTTACTTCAGATACCAGATTTCAAGGCAGTCCATTAAGAAATACTCGAAATATAACATCTCCAGTTTTCATCCAGTTTCTTCCTATTTTTTTTTTCTTCGCACCAAAAGTACGGAAACTTTATTTGATAGAAGAACATACTTAATTTTATGGATTTTTTTTCAAATTTGGTACACTGATAGATCTTTGCAATCTACAATTAGGAGTCTATTTTGGTGTAAATATAAGCTACATATGCAAAGATTTTCAACCGCTCAAATTTAACGAAATTATTTGCGCACTCCAACGCAAAACATCACGTGAGATATCATCGGTCAAGCATTTTTACCACGCGTATTTTGTTTTACTCACCATCATGCCCAAAGTTGAACAAAAAATGCGACCTGGCTAAATAATGAATGTTTGTTTGTTTATTTGAAGGTAAGCACAAAGCTATCTGTGCTCTGCCTACCACGGGTATCGAAACCCGGATTCTAGCGTTATAAGTCCGCAGACATGCCGCTGTGCCACTGGGGGGACAACTAACGAATGAATATTTGCTGTAAAATTCTTATCAATGCTATAAGTGGAGCTTCCAGTTTTGCCGCAAATTTTGATTTTATTCCTTTAACTCGCATGCTGAATCCTTTTTTGGCCACACATTTTTTTCACACCTAAGGTGTTTTTGATAAGATTAAATTATACTAGCAAAAGAACCGGAACAGGGCGCGTAATATATTAGCTGGATTCATCTGAAAGGGGAGACGGCCCGGCGTGTGCTTCATTCGCTTGGCAGTAGTGAGAGGTAAATTTTAGATAGCTGATAAACTCATAAAACGAATAAAGTAATGTGGTTTAGAACCCCTGAAAGTCAGGGGTAAGCCACTTTGATGAAACATCGGGATAAATCTGCATAGAGAGACATGCTGCATAGATTTCAGAGATATTCACCAGTTACCTTGTAAAAACAAAGTCACGAATTCCAAATTTGACTACGTATTTACGGCTCTTGCGTTAAATATTAGAACGTGTGTAATTATTTTTAGCTTTGTAGGATCCCTTTTAAAATTTAGGGTTAGGACAGTTTGTTTGCTAATCTGGGACTATCTGAGCTAGCCGTCCTTAATTTTGAAGTGATAGACCATAGCTAGTTAACACTACTTACAGCCAACTCGTGGCCTTCTCTAATAGAAGTGGGATATGACTGTCGCTTTTATAACGCATCCACATTCCCAAAGTGCGGAGTGCGATTTTTTTTTCTTTTTTGCGGTGACAGGGCGTAAACTACGGATCCTCGGTTAAAGCAGAAGTATAGTAGAAGGTCCCCCTCCTCCCACAGTAGTTAAGCTATAAGTCTACAAGCTTGTTTTTGAATTTCGCGCAAAGCTACACGAGGGCTATCTGCGCTAG